TTTCTTTTTATATTCCGGTGCTGCCACGGTCCGGAAATTGTGCACCCCTAAAATGGTGTATTATTTCTGGATCATGTTCCTCAACACCGCGGGAGTTGCGGTGGTGTTATTTACGCCACTAGCAATGAGAAATATTATTTTGGCATAGGTAAGACTAATATGGCTATAAGAAATGGCATTTAGGCGAAGCTCGGTTAACATGGTTCTTAGTTAAATCACTAATTAGTGGTAGCTACGCCTAACGTGACAGCTGGGCCCTAACGCCGTAACAGGAAGGAATATCAGTTAGCCATGACCATATCCCGTAAGGTATCGCATTTAGACTTTATTACCTATGTGTAATATGACGCTGAGTTTAATAGTTTTTACTCAGTTTGGCGTTAAGAGATTTATCCTTTAGTGCTTATTTCCGAACATTGAATCAACTTCATCGAATGCTATACTAATACCAGACGGCCTAAATTCTACAAATGCAGTCCTCAATCTCTTGGACTCAGCTCTTCCTCTTGTTGTGCAGGTTTAACAGCCTATTATTGTTAACAAACTCTTTCACTATAAGTCAGAGAACATATATATCTCATTAAAAAACAATTAAAATAAGCATTAATAGTCTAGGCCAGTGGTTTCCAACTGGCGACCAGGGGCCGGATCCGGCCAGCGAAGCCTTTTTTTGTGGCCGGCGAACTGAAATATATTAGTGCGGTAGAATTTGTTCTAAAATATATTAGTCATTTTTGTGCGGACAACTTTCGTAAAAAATCTATGCCGAAGAGCCTTTGCATTATGACCACCCTCCATCTATAACAATGGGCTCGCCCAGGAACAATAATCCTCATAGAACAATTCCTGACGTCTGTAAGTTACTTGAACATAGTTGCAGACCAGGTTTACTCATTCATGGCAACAGTTTTTCCTGCGGGGGGTGATGTTTACCAACTGCATAATGCAACGTGTCATAAGGGTCGAATCGTCATGGAACATTCCAGTGACTTTCAAGTCATGTCTTGCCCCCAAATTCACCTGACCTTAACCCAATCGAGCATTTGTGGTCCTACTTGGAAAATCAAATTCGTGCTGCCAACCTACCCCCTCGCAATGTGAGGGAATTGCAGGACCAGTTGGTACCAGATACCTCAGACTACCTATCAGCACCTTGTGGAATCAATGCCATGGTGGGTGCTAGCAGTTTTGAGGGCTAAAGGTGGTCATAATGTAATTGCTCTTCGGTGTATATGGGTTTAAAATACTTTTCTCTTAATAAAAACCTAATTTTTTCGTTCCTGTGAAATTTATCATTCCAACGGTGCAAAAAAAAAAATTATTTCTCAGGTTTTGCATCCAAGAAAATATTTATTCAAATACAAAAATATTACTCTTTATTTCATTTTTTTATTTTATTTTGTGAATATAATTCAGCACGTGCGTATCAGAAATTTTCTCGAAGAAATTCTCCGATTTAACTTTTTGAAACCACTCATTTTGGATGAAAATATTTACACACACATTTGTGAATTTAAAATGCAAATATCTATTTGGTGGTTGCAGCAGACAAACCTCAATTTTGTTATTGAACATTTTGTGTGCTACTGTGTAAGTTTTAATACCAACCTTTTTAAAGTTTTATATCTTAACAATTAGATATCTGTTGCACATTAATTGTTTAATACGTGGGTGCACATTAAAGTTATTGTAGCCCGAATTTTTTTAAAAATCTACTTCTTATTTTAATTTGTAATTCAATACTTTTGTTTTGCACAACTTGGTAAAAATCTGACAGTAATATTTTATGTTTCTTCAAACATAAAAGAATCCTACATAAAATTTTGATAAAGTTGCGGCCCGCCATTTGATTTGTGTTTTTAATTGTTGCTCCCGGCCTCATGAAAGTTGGAAACCCCTGGTCTAGGCGAATCAGCCGTAGTATTTGGCAAATATAGCTTTCTGAAAAATGGGGTTTGAAAATTCGCAAGTTTGCATGATGTATCGTGTGGGTGTCGCCGATTCATCCTCTCCCAACACATTTTGGAGCATTTGCATTTTACAAAAAATTATTCAGAAAATGCGGAAAACAAAATTTTCATTTTTAGGAATTCAGTTAGATTTTTTTTCAGAAATAAAACTTTTAAAAAAATGACTGAAGAAATTTTTGATAATAATGATGGTATAAATATATACAGTGCATAAAACCATGAATAACTTTTATTTAATGATCAGATTTTAACGTACTAGGGCTGAATCTTAGGAGAGTGACCTCAAATATGCTGATTAGTTAGTGCAGACTACCTTTTTTTAAATTACGAAATAAAGTCTCAAAAATGTACTTTCTGTGACTAAACATAACTGTCGGTAAAATTGTTCTTGAGAAATTGAATTTTAAAACAGTCTGAAATTTAAAACTTGATTTTGCGGAAACTATTCAACCGATTTCGTCCAAATTTTGTATTTTCCAAAACAACTTTTTTGAAAATTTGCAATTAAAGATTTTTTTCGATTATTATTAAATTGATCAAAATCATTTTTTACGTGGAACTATCTTGGGAAAAATGAATTCCATAATAATAGTTCAAATATAGTTAATAGCAAAAATAGTTCACTTAAAAAAGTTCACTCTATGCGAAATACGAAAAAAGTTAACATCAAGGGGTCCAAGTTTGGAACCGCTGACTTTTGGACTGAGCAATTTGGACCCTACTTTTCAGATTGCGGCAATCCCCTTTTTTTGAGGGTTATAACATAATACGTCAAAAAAATGTATGTTTATTTTGATATTGTACGTTTTTGTGTCTGAATTCGTAACTTAAAATGTCGCGTGCACTAATTAATTAGCATATCTGAGGTAACCCCTCATTAAGATTGAGTACTAGTAAATGACATTCTGTTCATTAGATCAAAAGTTATTTAGGATGTTTCGTTTATTTTTTTGCGTACTTTAAAATTAATAAACTCATCCCTACTAAATTTATATTTTATTTAATTGCTTCAAGTTCATTATATCTTTGTAGCTATTATTAGCTATAATTTCCAAATCTCTTAGCAAATGCTCTAAATATAATTTTCCTTCAATTGTATAATTTTATTTTATAACCGTCGTTAAACAGCCGACTCAATTATTCGGGTTTGCGACTTCTGATGTCCCTAGCCTTGTAATTTTGAACCCAATCCAGAAGACAAGGGAACTCCTGGTTCAAGTACTGGGGGAAATTTGCCTTCGTGGAGGACTTTTTGATGGAACTAGCCCGCATTTGCTTTAAATGGAGAGGAAAACCTCCCACGGTTAGCCTGACACTAAAGGGAATTTAACCCGTGATCCGTCAGCCACTGGGCAGATTTTTCGTCAGCACCGTGGTCGGTGCGAGCTGGATGCGGAATTCGTATCGACCAATCATTGCTGAGATTCTAACCCGGTTTACCTCATCGGAAGGGGAACTTATCTCCTGAGCAATCTTGGCTCTGATTGCACCGAAACCAGTGTTTTATTTCCCCGATCTTCGAAGTTCTTCCTGCCTTTAAATATTCTACAGAACAAGCTGTAGTAAGCAGCTGTATACTTTCTACACGGAAGTGAAGCAGGTAGAGAGCTTGAAATTGGTGTTTATAGTTTTTATATTGAATACACCACCCACACATTTTTTTATATTTACTTTTGAAAATAACCGTTTAAAATATCGTAACTTAAACGATAGAATTTACTGATTCTTAGTAGTCAACTAAAACGTGCGTGTGTTATCTCTAATGTCTTCAAATATTTTTTTTTATTTTAGAGTCAGACTCTGATCACAAATAAATTATTGGGAAAACGTGTTAAGCGGTAATATTTTAATGAATTTGGGGAAATCAGTTTCAAAATTTACAAAAAACATCAAGAGCCTACTCGCAAACCATCTATTTTTCACAAAAAACACTATAAAAGTACACGGATAAATAAAATAAGTGGTACCTACATTTAATTGCATGTTATTAAACCTAAACATTCGGATGATTTTTAATCTCATTTAAGTTTTTTCTAAGAAGTCACAAGAAACTACACTTCTAATATAAATGGTAGGTCAAAAGCATATCTGCCAGGATTTTGTGTTTAAGAGTTAAAAAAAATGCTTTGTCACTTAAACTCGATATTTTAAAAGAACGACTGTCAAATGAAAGAAGATTTCAATTATTAAAAGATGGTGACGTACGGTTTACTGTGTATTGCTTAGTTAATGGATATTTAACTTTTTCAACTGCAAAGTTCGTCAATAGAGTGCGCTGGCTACGTCAGAAAAATATGAAATACTTTAATAACCACTATTTGTAGCAACAATGTGATGCAATCTGATGAAAAAAATTTACACTTATGCAAATTAAGCAGTTAAAATGTTCTGTTATACTGAAGAAGACATTGTTTAAGAATTTTCCTATTAGCAGAGTAATCTGTTGACAAACTTTGTAACTTAGTGAAAGTGAAATAGTATGTATTTAATTTAGCAGGACTCCAGCATACTATGGATGTTTTCTACACTACGGTGCGCTGCGAAATATTTAATGTATATACTTTTAACCCATGGGAAGGGGCTTTTAACCCATGATCCGTCTATTAGTGAGGCTATTTTACGTCAGCACTGTGGTTTGTGCAAGCTGATTGCGGAATTCGGATCGGCCAGCCATTGCTAGGATTCGAACCGGGTTCATCTAATTGGAAAGCGAACGCTTTATCCCCTGATTCATCACGGCTCATCATTAATATCTTATGAAAGCAGATTTGAACTCAGAAATAATAAAATTTCAGTAATTGAAAACAAAATAGTCTTAATTTTCGCTTGGCAGAATAAGCTGTAGTAAGCAGCTGTATACTTTCTACACGGAAGTGAAGCAGGTAGAGAGCTTGAGATTGGGGTTTATATTTATATTGAATACACCATCCACACATTTCGATCTCTCAGTTTTTCTTTGATTTCTCAAAGCGGACATTTTGGAGTTGTTGAAAAAAAGAACAGCTGGTGAAAAAAAGAAAATAGAAAGCATGAAATAAAAATAATTTATTCTTTGGCATCTGGAACGATAAACACACCATTTTTATGATCGTGTACTTAAAATCTGCACTTTGACAGAACCTCCTCTAGAGTTCGTTTTTGGTGGTATGATATAACCCTGCTTCCTGTGAATCCGCACATGCTTGGCAAGGTGGTCAGAACGTCCAAATCGCTTCCCACACACTGGACACTGGTACGGTTTCACACCCGAATGAGAACGTTTATGGCGGGCCAACTCATCCGATCTACTGAAACGCCACTTACAACCAGGCCACTGGCACACGAAAGGTTTTTCTCCAGTGTGCCGGCGGAGATGTGCCCGAAGGTGAGAGTTCTTAGAATAGACTCTGGCACACCCAGCATAAGGGCACGGAAATATTTTCTCTTCATCTGATACAGTGGCACGTCTCCCACCCCCACCTCGACGCTGTCTGGGTGGTTTTGGTATGACTGGTGTGCCGTAAGTGGGTACGTTTGTAGAGGGCGGCATACCTAATGTAGAGTACCATTCTTGAAGAGCAGGATTCCTGCCTCCTGTCGAATACACTGGTTTATTGTTATTGCATAGCAATCTAGAGTAGTCCTGTTGCCCTCCACACACAGTGGGAGGGAATGTTTGAGGAACAGTGGCGGGTGTTGGATTCTGGATGTCCTCTCCGCAGAGGACAGCGGAAGATAAAGCCTGGAGATCCACGCCCAGTACCACTAGGTCGTCTCTACTGCGTGGATCCGAGAATAGTTTGTCCACGAGGAGGTGGCTAGAATCTTGGACTGGTTCCGTAGTTTCAAGGAATTCTGACCTGGAAAAAGTAAAGTTGATGATATTATTCACATTTCCATGCAAAATGTCTAATTTTGAATCACTTAGAAATGGACAATTTTCATGGGTTAGAAGATAAAGGACAAAATTAGTGACCGCCACCTACATCGGGGCGTGTGAAAATTAATAAAACAAATTTTAATTTGTATAATTGGTTCAAATCTTAAATTTTACTAGTTGAAAACGTTGAATACAATTTTTAAATTTTACATAAACCTATTTGATGAGATCAAAAAAAAGTTTGTTTTTTTTCATTTAAGAATGAACCCTGCAGTGTGCCATATTGAGAAATGTTTAAAAGTTTTACATTAATATAGTTTTTAATGTACTATAAATTTCAATTTTTGAAAAGTGACCACATCTTTTGCAAAAGCCCACAATTGAATATGCTACTTCTGGCCCATAACAAAATTTTCTAATTTTGAATTTCACAGGAAGATTTAAGAATACATAATTAAAGTCAGTGATCGGTAAAACTACACTTTTTGTAGAGTTAGAGCTTGTATACTATTAAAAATGTAGTTAATTACAACTACGTATTTTTTTAAAAAATGTAATGATTACAAACAGCTATTTGGCTACTTTTAGGAAATTGAGTGTGCAGAGGGATTTCCTTTACACATACGCTCAAAATTTAAAACTCTTTCCCCCTGAAGCATCACAACTCCCATTTTAACTTTTAAGTCCTATATATCAAGCGTCTGAAATAAAAAATTTCCTGCATCAACTCTGGCAACAACCAATCATCATTATGATAAACGTTGACCAAGTTTTGCTAGTAATATCAACATATAGCGAAGTGGCCGGGATAGCCTGGTCGGTAGGGCGCTGGGCCCATATCCAAANCTGCTTCTGGCCCATAACAAAATTTTCTAATTTTGAATTTCACCGGAAGATTTAAGAATACATAATTAAAATCAGTGATCGGTAAAACTACACTTTTTGTAGAGTTAGATCTTGTATACTATTAAAAATGTAGTTAATTACAACTACGTATTTTTTTAAAAAAAGGTTAACGATTTCAAATAGCTATTGTAACTATTTGACTACTTTTAGGAGTGTGTTGAGGGATTTCCTTTACACTTACGCTCAAAATTTAAAACTCTTTCCCCCTGAAGCATCACAACTCCCATTTTAACTTTTAAGTCCTATATATCAAGCGTCTGAAATAAAAAATTTCCTGCATCACCTCTGGCAACAACCAATCATCATTATGATAAACGTTGACCAAGTTTTGCTAGTAATATCAACATATCGCAAAGTTAAGTAAAGGTAACATCTATAAAAACTTAATAGAAGCTACCACATGTTGAATGCTGGTAAAGACATTTAAATAACAATTAAGTGCAAAAGTCAATTATAAGGAGTTTTGAAATAAAGTAATTTAAAATTTTTTTTTTTTTTTGACGAAACCTATGCCGAATCAGTACCGTATGATGAAAGGAGACTGAAGATGCGTGTGAAAAGACATATGAAGGAGGCTGTATATGAAATGAAAGGGCTCTAAGCACAATTATAAGCCACATTTTCAAATTAAGTGGAAGAGCTTTTTTTTTGTGGAAAAAAGCTCACGATTTCTACGTGGGCAATAAGCTGCTTCTATGCATTGGGGTTAAGTAAATTTCTGAAAATTTTAAACAACTGAAAATATTACGTAACAGTTCGATATAACACCATTGACACTTTGGTAAAAAAAAATTCTGCTTATCAATAAACTGCAATTTCTTAAGTATGATTGAATCTAAATTTAAAGCTCAGTTTATGTTCTGCTATTACTGATTCTGAGATTTCTCCCAAAAATCTGAGATTTAGCCTTTAAGGACAATGATCACTAAACCGATGATCTCGAGATAGAAGCTCAAGGAGACATTTTCGGTCGATCATGTTAAAAACTAGGATTGACTAACTTGGACTCCTCCATTGAGATGATTAACCAAATGTTTTTTTTTTTTTTTTGGTCGATAGCACATATTAACTTTTCTAGCTCACATGGTAGTAGCACAGAAGCTACATAAGTTTGGCGGTCACTGCTTTAGAAGAAATTTGGTTTATTGACGCAAATCTTTTAATTCAAAAACGAGAAAAAAATAGACTGAAATTAGTTTAAAAAGGTAAAAAAAAAATATATAGTTAATACATGTAAGTATTTTCTCTCCTTTCAAAAATTCATTACTTCCATACTTTAAAAAAAATGTGCACCAAAAATGAACAGCTTGAATAACTTTTGATCCAATGATCGGATTTTCACGCACTCGAATCGGATAAGAAATCGATCGAATTAGTTCTTGAGAAATTGCAATTTTCAAACTAAATTTTTAAAAAATTCGATAGCTCTGAAAGTATTCAATCGATTTCGTTCAAATTGTGTATTTTGCCATTTAAATTCTGAAAATTTTTAGGTTTATATGTAAAATAAAGGAAAAATATTGAAAATAATTTGTTGCATTTTTATTACTTTTATGTGAACAAATTTCATAATTTGGGTGATTTTGTTTCATTTGCTTAGAATTTGTAGCCAACATTTATAACCCGTTGAACAGCCGACCCAATTTTATAGGTTTACGACCACTAATGTTCAACTACGAAGCCTTGTCATTTTGAACCCAATCCAGAAGATAAGGGAACTCCTGCGTCGAGTATTAGGAGAAATCTGCCTTCGTGAGGACTTTTTGATGGAACTAACCCGCATATGTGTTACATGAAGTGGAAGACCACGAAAACCTACCACGGTTAGTCTGACGGCAAGGCGACTCTAACCCATGATCCGTCTACCACTGAGCACGTCAGCACTGTGATCGGTGCTAGCCGCATGTCGAATTCGTATCGTCTGGGATTCGAACCCGGTTCGCCTCATTGGAAGGCGAATGCTCTATCCCCTGAGTCATCGCTGCTCTGTAGCCAATTGTTTAAAACGCTATTAAGAAATGGAGAAAAAATTAACATTATGGAGTCCAAATGTTCGACCGCTCTCCTCGCCAAACTTCTTTTCCACATCGCGACTACCCCCCCCCCCCCCACTCATATCTTGCTGGTCAGGAATCCGAACTCATTGAAAAAAAGGTATGTTTATTCAGAAAAAGTTTATTTCTGTCTCTGATGATTTCGTAATTAAAATATCATCTGCCTAATCAAACCATTAAGAATGAGTCCCTATACGTGAAAATCCGATCATTAGAAAAAACCCTTAAAGTGTTTACTCTTTTTTCCAATTTTTTTTAATTGTTTACTATTGCGAAAAATTATAATAAGTTTTACAGAGAATATAATCAAATCGAATATAATTTGATATTTAATAAATAGGACACGTGTAAGAGGAAGCGAAGGGGGACGACGTCTATGTAAAACGAGAATAATCGTGCACGATAAACATGCACACGATACTCTCATAATCAATGGAGGTCGAGCAGCTTGGTAAATAAAATGTCCGACATGCGAACAGAGTTCGTGACAATGTATAGACACACTTTTTTTTACCTGTCATTTGCCACTAAAAGGACAGTTGACAATACCTTAAATTTCTAGAGATGTCACTTTCCGTTTGTGGTAAAATTGTTGAGGAGTAATCATTGTTTGGAGTAATATCAATATGGACAATATAATAATTTTATTGTTAGCATTAATGACTCAAAAAGACAACTTAAGTGGTCTAATTCGGTGATTACAAAAATCGTTATTTCCTCTAGTTTACTAAAAAAAAGCTAGGGTTTACTCAAAAAAAAATATTTAAAAATTGAAAAGTATAAAAATTGTTTAAAATTGAAAACATAAAAAGGTAATTCAATTTCACTTTACAATTTTAAATAAAGCAAGTTTTGTAATAAAAATTAAAAAAAAAAGGAAAAATTGTCGGATAATAGATAGTTCACATTGCTAACGTTCACATTGTTTTAATTAACGTTTCCATAAAATTAACTTCTTTAAACTTTTCATTAAATTACTGATTTCATAATTTTTATAAAAAATTTCAAAGTTTCTGTATCTGTTTAATTGTCACATTTTTTTAAATTTCAAAGAAATGCCTATTTTCGAAGCAATATTTAGTATAAACATGAAATAAATTCGGCATTTAATTCATTATAAAGAACATAGACTACATTATTCGAATACTAAAAGCATACATAATGATATTTATGTATTTAAAAAACGGAACATTTTTTAAATTAAAAAAAAAATTGTACTACCATTAATTTAATTGAAATTTAACTTAAACTAAATTTTGTATGCTATTATTTTATAATGAATATACCCACTTTATTTTAAAGACGAAAGAGGACACGTGCAAAATGCCAAATAAGCAAAACTTGTGAAAAATATTTTTACAATAATATATTAAATAAATTATGAAAAAATAAGCATACGTAAAAAATTCCTTAAGAATTTTTCAAAAAACTTGTTACTTCCTATTTCTCAAACTCTTATATTTTGCATGACATGCATTTTGAATAAATGTTTCTGATATGGTTCTTAATTTATGATTTTTAATATATAATTAAAATAGTTTTTAATATATAATTTTTTTACAATTTTAGAATTCTAATTTTACTGATATGGTCTATAATTTATAATTATCAATAGATAATTTTCAATAAACAATTTTCAAAATATAGTTTTCAATAAACTATTTTCAATAAACAGTTTTCAATAAAGAGTTTTTAATAAGCAGTTTTTAATAAGCAGTTTTTAATAAACAGTTTATAGCATAGTTTTAGAATTCTAATAAAATTTGCACAGTTTTATTCTATATTTAAAATTATTTTTCAGCAACAAAAAGTTACTTTTATTAAGAAAAAAAAAGCTAACTTAACTTGATTAATAACACTTGTTCTGCATAGTACTGCAGGAGAGAAAAAATTACAATTACAATAAAAAATTATAATTTTACTATGTAAAATTATGCGTAACGAAATGCTTGAGTTCTATAGAACGACCAAGCTATCTGCAATAATAATTTCATATTTTGTGGGTCTATTTTAGGCATTTTTTAGAGTGCCAGGTTAACGTATATAAAAACATATGTATACTATTTTACATGCATGTCAAAAGTTCAACAGTTGTTGTGTTTACGTGTTAAGACAGTCCTATATAAATACATAGAGATCCAATTAAAAGAAACAAACTATTTTGCATTAAGTCAATTCTTTATTAAAAGTAGTTGTATTTAAAGTAAAAATAAACATTTACGGAAATTTTGTGCTTATTTTAGTGTATGGAAAATCCCTTATAAGTTGTGTGGCGTCAATCGGGGGGGGGGTTACAATACTATAGACATATATCTTCCTGAAATAAAAATTACTTACTGTACTATCAAAGATGTTTTCTGCATCAAAATTTACTTTAAATTGTATGTCTGAAGTCGAAGAAAGTAGTAGTATACATTTTTGAAAAACGGAAGTAATTGTTTCCGTCTCTACCGAATCTTAAGAACAAAAGTCCGGAAGGAAACCCAACTCATTAGGGGGGAATTATTAGCGTCGTAGGATATAGTAACCGAAATTTTATCAGCACAGTTTTCGAAACTGCATCTCAATAGCTTCCACCGGAAAAGCTATTTGCAATTTAATATCACTGAAAGAATTTTCTGCTGAATTACTTAATACCAGTTTAAATGGTGATATATAGGCTATCACTTTTGTAACTACTGGGTCTCGTTCAAGGGCCCCGGCAGAATAATATAAAAGGGGGTGCAGCCCTCTAACAAACTGCCCCCCCCCCCAAAAAAAAAAGAAAAAGAATTTTTTATTTTCAAATATTCAGTCATTAAATTTTGTTTTGTTTTTGCATATACTTTCATCTGTTAATTTTCCTCAAGATACATTTCTTCATTGTTAATAAGATATTTAAAAAAAAGTACGAATTTCTTGTACTTGCAAATTTTGCCACGAGAAACTGCATTGATGGCATAGCTACTGACTTTGAAACACAAATAACCGCAAATAACAGTAGTTTCGTATACTAACGTGTTTGTGCACGCTTAACATTGGTATTTATTGTGTTGATGAAATTTTACAGTTGTGAGAAGTCAGTTTGTGTTATACACCTTTCTTAAACAAAATAACTGATAACAAAATATAATATTATTTATATTCTATTAAATGAAATTTAAAAATATAGCTTAGATATCTCCCAAATTTGTGCATGCTCAGTGTGCATAAGAAAAGAATCAAAGATATGACTCAGAATTCACTGAAAAAGTTAAACAGATTTGGACAGCGAACAAGACGATTACAATTTTTGTTTGATTAAACAAATTTTTTATTGTTCTGTATCAATAATTACTTAATTATTTGTTTTTGAATAAAAATATTTTTAATAAGAAATTTTTATAACAAAATTGTTTTTCTGTATCTCTTTAATTGTTTAAAAAAAGAAAGAAAAAAAGCCAGAGGGGGGCAAGTGCACCCTCTTGCACCCCGCTGCTGACGCCCTTGGTCTCGTTTATAATGTGTTGTCACTTTGTCACCGCATGTGAAGCATAGGGAACTTTCCTGAACTTAGTTAAAAGCATAGCGGATTCTCTATTTCTGCTTGTTTTTATTCATTTTCAGCAACAAGCATCCATTACACTAAAAAAGCATTTATAACTATACAAAATGTGGCTCTTTTACTTTGAATCTAACTGTTCGACATAAAAAGATTATTGATGATTAAGATTATTGATGATAAAATGTCATTCCTTTTGTTTTAAATATAAAGTTTTTTATTCTTCCGCAATTCTCTTTGTTGCCTTTATCTAAGAAGTAGAGAATCCGCCGAAAGAAGGGGAATCATTTAGGGATTCGCTGCGGAATAAAAATTGAGAACTTTGGTTCGAATATATCTTTTCCGCATCCATAGAAACATCGCATTTATAAACTAATGAGTCTCACTTTAATATGTAGTCTCTTCGAATTAAAATAAAAGGATTCTTCATATTTCAGTGCCTTGAGAAGGATAATCAGTAATAATAAATTTAAACAAAAGTTGTTTTTAATATTAGTTACTATTTAAACATTTAAATCGCAGACGTAGAATAAACCAAACATATGTTTTCTTGGAAAAGTGTATTGTTTCCACACAAATGTCACCATCACAAACAGTTCGTATATTTTAAAGATCCGTGAGAATTCTGCATTTCCTATGAAAAATAGTGCTTAAAATTTTACTCATCAATGTTCTAAAAATAATGTAGTGACCCAAAATGACCTGAAAGCCTAGTACCTAACAAATTTGAGTATAGGAGTTTAATGGTACAAGAATTGGACGTTAACTGCGCCATTATAACGCATTCAACTGCAACGAAATAAAACGATATTTTGAATTAAGCGTAATGCTAAAATTGATGAAATGAAAGATCAGAGAGATCTCTAGCTAAATTTACTATGAAAACGATGTTATGTCAAGTTCGGTAGATTTTAAAAAGTACCATAAAGCTTCGTTTATTCGCAGTTGAAGTGTTGCTTCATTCGTTATTATACATTTCCTTTACATTTTTTAAAGATTTTTTGTTAACTGAATTTTCTTATTAATGGCGAATGGACTTTCCAGATTTCATTTTTCACATTAAATATTTTAGAAATCACAGTCTGTTTGCATATTCTAAGCTGATAATGAACTTTTTATAATGCCGTGATTCCTCCAGGAGAATCTAGATTTACTAGGTGAGCAAAAATTGAGTTCGTAAAAATTGTTGAATAAAGTGATGATTACCTGTCGTCAACCGGTAGAGAGAAGAGGCTGTCAACTGATGAGCAGGAAAGACAAAAAGAACAAAGTGAAAAGCTGTCATCGCATTCACAGTGGGGACTCCAACCTGGTGGGTTCTCATGAAGGTATGCGTCTAGCTCATCTATGTTGGTGTCGTCCACCCAAGGAAGTGAACTCTCACTGTCGTCGTCTTCAGAGCCGGTCAACTTAGTGGACGCGAACAGACCGCTACAGAGGAAGTCCATGCCTGATAGGTCGCTCTTCCAAGCAGGCATCCCGCTGCTTGGAATAAAAGCAGTTCTGAAGAAATCTGAAATGAATTAAGAGTCAATTAGTAACACACTTCCACTATAGACTTATTCAGATTTTATGATGAGGCATAAAATTTTATTCTTTTTTTTGTTCTTGTAAGCAATGGATGACGTGTGAAGGGTGGTGATACGTTTATGCTAATGGAACAAAATGTTCCATTACTATAAATGTATAGGTATTTTAACCAATTCAATAAAGGTATAGTACCCCCCCCCCCAANTGTACAATGTGCAAAAAAAAAATAAACGGACCACCCTTAATAACTTAAGATCTAATCCTCGGATCTTCGCGTTCTAGGACTCAATCTTAACAGTTCGAGAGGATGATCTCAAATATGCTAATCAATAAGTGCAGACTATGTTTTAAGTTACGAAATTAGACACAAAAATGTATTTTCTCTGAATAAAATTTTTTTTTTTGACGGATTCCGATTTCTGACCCCCAAAATATGGGGGGGTAGCTGCAATCTGGGAAATATAGTACCAACAGTTTGGTCAGGAGAGGAGCCCAAAATTTGGACCTCTTAATGTTAATTTTTTGCGCATTTCGCTACAATTATAAAATTTTTTTGCACGCAATTATAAAACTAGTTTGTCCAAAGATGCGAAAAATAAATTTCAGTAATTATTATTTAATAAGTCAAAAAAATTTTAATTGTAAGGTATACAATTTTAAAGAATATAATTTTGCATGGAAAAATACAAAATTCCAGCAAATTCAGCCGAATAGAATGTATTAGGCCGATTTTGCTCAAATTTTATTTACAGCCATGTAAAATTATATTCTTAAAAACGATGCCAAAAATTGCATATCTTACAATCCAAATTTTTTTCGACCATTATTAAATAAAATAATAGATATTTTATAAAGGCTATTTTTGCATGGAAATATCTTTTCCTAAATGAATTTTATAATTGTGTGAAAATATTTTTCTATTCTATTAAGTTCTCGAAACATAACGAAATACGCAAAAAGTAAAATTAACATTAAGGGATCCAAAGTTTAGATCCCTTAAAGTTAATTTTACTTTTAATAGTTAATTTTAAGTTAATGTTAATTTTACTTTTAAATTACGCATTCCTGATTGAAGTATGGAGAATACGAATCAGTCCAGAAAAGTGTGTTTATTCAGAGAAAGTACGTTTTTGTGTTTCATTTCGTAACTTAAAATATCTTTTGTCCAATAGCCTATTTGAGGTCAACCTTCGAGCCATTAAGATTGAGTCTTAGAACGTGAAAATTCGATCATTAGATCAAAAGTTATTCAAGGTGCTCCACTGTTTTTTGCACACTGTACATTGATTTGAAGCAGAACCTTAAGATAAAATTCACAAAATAAATATTAAACACTAATTTTTCTTCGAATGATTGGATTTTAATATATTAAGATGCACTTAGTGTCCTTAGATATGTAAATGTATTTTAAGCTCTGATACAAAACGTGCTTTATCTGAAGAATAAAGCTTTCCGACGGGATTTGGATAATAAATTTGGAATAGGGAATATAAACTAATCTGGAACCCAATAGTTTCGACACATTTATAAATTATTTAGACTTCTAAATTAAACAATTACAAATGTTTTACGTGGACTTGCCTTTGGGAAAGAGAATTTTATAACTGAGTACGAAAAGTTACAGATTCGTTTAAAATTATTCCTATGGCGAAATCAGGGCTAAAGAGAATAGAAGGGCTGGTTCACTCCTTTGAAGTATCTCTCGCCGCGCCGATCCTCCGACGTCACTCTAGTGACGTCACTTAGGCGCAAAGCTAGCACTTTTACTTCAAGAACGGAGCGTTTGGCCTTACAAGCTCTAAACGATATTGGATCATTTCTTTTTGCGAGATATTCTATGACATTTGTNAAAAAAGAAGTTAAATATTCAATTTTTCGGGATCGGAGTCATCAGCAGTGAACAGGGGGCTTAAACCCCTAGACCAGGAATGGCGAACCAATGGCATGCGTGCCATTTATGTCACGTGACACAATATTTTGGGCACGCCACCGATCACAATTGTTATTGCACTACGAAGCATATGCAACAATTAAATTAAAATTCACATAAAACAAACAAAATAATAAACAATTATTAATAAAGAAATTAACAATTAATGCTAAAAAAACAATTAATAACCATAAAAATCTAATTATAAATAACTAGCAAAAGAAAAAAAAATTAACAGTCCTACTTAAACTAACTTGTTACGACCTAATATAAGTTGTTTGTCATCTAATCTGCAGCAACAGAAGTCACGCTGATGATGAATTACGCGTATAACTGAGACATTGCAAAATGTTTTTTTTTTTTAATGTGAATAGAGAGTTTTGAGTTGATAGTATTTAGTATTATTATTTTCCCAATAATCACGAAGTCAAAATCATTTGACGGTACGCCTATGACCTCATTAAACAATTTTCTAGAAAAAATGGCACGTTGGTGTATAAAGGTTCGCCACCCCTGCCCTAGACTATATATAAATTAGATTCCCTAATTTCTTCTTACGAAAAACTTTCATAAAATTTTGAACTTTTTATAATCTCAATAATTCAGCCGTCTTCAATGTACTCTATCTGAATTAGAGAGTCAAACTAAAAAAGTTATACAGGAGATTGATTTCGGTCTCTCACGTAAGCATCCCGCGTGCTCTCGTATGTCAATTATGCTCTAAGTCTGTAGAGAACTAAAGGTTGTTTTGTGGGATGCGTGAGCTCAGATCTTCGTACGTGTATGTAAGACCAGATCATACTCACGTACAATGGACCACACACATACCATAAACAAACTTTGTTCCTTACAACTTTGCGCATAATTTTATTAAAACTTAATATGAAAAATAACCTAATTTTTTCATAATAAATGAAAAAATTATAATAATAAAATTATAACTGTCATACCAGCAGCTTGTCACCAGTTCATTATTAAACATCTTTTATAATTTTCATTAGCTATTATCTACATGTTAAAATAACAAACTCAGCAACCTTTCGTGTAGTAACTTACTAAACAGGAACTTCATATTAAAATAACATAAGAATAAAATAATTCATTCACAAAACAGCTTACTGCGAAACCGCTCTTCCGGATGTAAACTTACGCAATCAGACTTTCTCTCTTAACCAAATTGTTTTAACTTCGAGTGATAAGCAGTCAACTTCCACGCACCATAAAATTTCGATTTGAAACCTTTTTACTGTCACATTATGAAACAATTATTATATACATTTTTTTCTCTTCCCCTTATCCAAGAACTTTTAACTTTGTGCCAGAAGCCTCGCAGTAATTTTCAGAAATGAATCATTGTAGTTCAAACTTTGACGAGCAATAACGCAGAATAAGAATTACATTATATATGTACGCTCTGTTGTAACTTTTAGAAATTAGAAATTGGTGGGAAAAGTTTTTCCCTTTTACTATTCGATAGTAGAACAAGTACCCCAAGTGATACTATATTATGAATCCAAATTTTATATTTTTCAGCTAGATTAAGACAGGCAAGAAATCGCTATTGAACTTGCAAGCAGATTACTTTTCTTAGATATGTAGATTTTTTTATTTTAATTTATAATCGTCGTTGAACAGCCGACCCAATTTTCGGGTTTACGACTACTAATGTTCAACTCCGTAGCCTTGTCATTTTGAACCCAATCCGGAAGACAAGGCTGGCTCAAATATTGGGAGAAATTTGCCTTCGTGGAGGATTTTTTGCTGGAACTAACCAGAGTTTGCGTTACATGGAGAGGAAAACCATGAAAATCTCCCTCTGTTAGCTTCGCGGCAAGGGGACTCTAATCCATGATCCATCTACCACTGAGGATATTTTACGTCAGACTGCTGCCGGGACAAGCCGGACGCGGAATTCGTATCGACCAACCATCGCTGGGATTCGAACCCAGTTCACCTCATTGGAAGGTGAACGCTCTATCCCCTTAGTCATCACGGCGTTTAAAATAGTATAATCAATGTACGTAGAATTCAATGTACTTAGCAATTACAAAATAATAATAAGAATAAAATAGTATACCAGAAGAATTTTTCTATTGCAGACAAAGGTATTTTAAAAATTAAAATTAGGTTTTGATAACATTTTATAATTTATTTTTTTAAAAAAGTGACTTTAATTCTGATTTAGACTTGCATTTATAACATTATACGGCACATTTTTAATTAAACTAAACCGAAGTTCAGAGTTAGGTTCAAATTCACCATAGTGGGGGGTCCATCTGACTGCTTGCAAATTTAATTGCGATATTTGTCATAGATCTGTGATAGTGAATCTGTAATAGTAATCTGTTATACTGATAGACGTAGCTTTCCTCTTTCAGAAGCTAAATTCTTACTAGAAATCAGTCAGAAAAAAAACCCGGAAAGAAATTAAAAAGAATAAAAAGAAACGTAAAGTTCAGGCAAAATTTGTATTTAAATTAGGATTTATTGTATTAATTTGGAAAGAAATCAGAATCTCCTTTTGAAATTTGATTTTTGAACTCAAATATGTTATTTTTTAAATAAAGTGGAAGCTAAAAGCTAAATATTTTGTTTGCTTTAAACATATAGTGACAGAAAATGATGTAAGCACACTCTCGAATCGTATATTAAAATTAATAAGTCTATATAATTACGGCAAATATATTTAGAACGTACCTGTTGAAAATAAAGATTGAAAATAATAAGTGAGAAAATTCTAATGTTTCTGAAATAATTATCGCCATTTGTTGATTTCCAAAATTTATATTTCCATTACTGGCATTAAAAAAGTTAAAACATCCGTTCAACTTATATGCTTTCATTCAATTCTAGAAAATGGCAGTAAATTTTCTTATTTTAGTTTTTACCAGCTAAATTCGATTAATTGCCCTTTACTTCAGAAAATTAAATATTTTTTGTAATAATTTTAGCCTGTACATATTTGTATCCAAATGTTTTGACAGTGAAATGTGGCAGTAAAGTTGTTCATCGCTAACTTTTATTAGTAAGTATAGGAAAAATGTACCTATTTAAATATAAAAATGCATTTATATTTTTGATCATTGCTAGTATTTTTCCGAAACCGTATCTGGTAGCTCGTTAATGTAGCTTTGAAGTGACGTAATTAAATAAAGATTCTCGAAGCTCGTCTTTTTTAAAATAGTGTCTAATTATGTAAAATTTTAAATTCGTTCACGTAAAATGTTAAGAAAAGTAATGATTTAATAATGACACGAAAAATTATAAATTTAACATTTTTTAAACAATAAAATGACACATGATAATTTATTACTGCTTTTTTTTTAACTTTTAACAAGTTGAAAACTAAAAAAAAGTTGATGTTATTTGATGATATTGAAATAAATTTGGATGTTTAAAATTTTATTGAATCTAGGAGGGTTCAAGTTATGTTCTTAAAGTTATTAAAATTTAAAAAGGTTAAATTCAATATAGAATATATTTTGACGAGATTTAATAAATTTAAATTTTATTTTTAAAATTTGTTTCATGGACGTGCAAAAGGCAGATTTTACATACAAATGTTTCGTAAAAATTCTCACTTAAAACTCACCCTTGAAATGTTTCAACAGATGTGGAAAATAATCCAAGTTCATAATTTGGTAAAATTATAAAGGCAAAGCCGATCACATATAAATCATTTGTTAAGAAAAAGACAAAATTTAGTTTACTTTATTACCATATTTAGTATTTTTTTTTAAATCCTGATGCAAAGTAACAATTTTGAACCTGTGTCAGCTCGCATTTAACAAATCATAAAAACTAAATTTAAAACCTTACTATAAAAAGTAGTATAAAACATACAAATAAACTCTATAGAGGAAAAAAAAAATGTTGAAAAAGTGTATTGACCTATTGCCATGTACTATACAAAACAAACTTACATTTAAATACTAAACAAAAGCGTCAACTTCATCTCGATTCTTGTCAGTTCGCAATGTTTATTTACAATAAAGCCCATAAAAGCTGGAATTGTTAAAAGCAGGAACGATCTGCAAAAAATAAAAATCCATACCTTAGATACATGTAACTTAATATGAAAAAAAAGTATATCTAATCAGTTTTTACATGAATATAGAAACAATAGATTCTTTAACTATAGTAAATGCACTTCACCGGCATTGTGTTAAAGAGCCTTATCGGAACATAACACATGATAACAGGTACTCGGGCATCAATGTCGTTCTAACAATAAGTGATTTATTGGTTATCTAATGAGACTCAGTGGGGACAGATAGACGATTCTTACATATCTGCTCTAATAAAAATATTTCATTAGACACTCAAAAGAATAATTCGGAAGAACAATCGGTATTGTTAATCTAGGGACTGTGGCTAACCAAATTCCATGCCTACTTTCATTCGACCAGAGTGCGTTTCGATAGTTTGCTAATCTGATTAAATTAACTGATAATGTTCGGCGATTGCGATAGTTTGAAGTAAAATATTTTGGCCATTATGGGTCTAGAGTAGCGGTTCCTAATTTCTTTTCGGTTATGGAACCCTGTAAGGATTGACCTTTCCGTGGAACCCCCCCCCCCTCAAGTTCAGAATTTATTAAACGATGAAGCCCGGCTGATTATTCTGAAAATATTTTTTGGGTAGAATGAAATTCTCATCTTTTTTATCAATAATAGTTTTAAGATCAAATTTTTAGTTGTAAAACCGTTGAATTTGCAGGAATTTATTTTATTTCGAATTGAAAAGTTAAATGGGAAATTTTAGTCAGGGCCCGAGCTAAGGATTTCATATTATTAGCCTGTAGATTACCTAAATATAAAAAGTATTCGCCAATTTTCAAGAGCCTTCGCCAAATGCCAAATCTTAAAAAAATTTTATTATTAATTTTTCCCCGTAGAAAACTATTGTTTCAGGTTTACATATCTGTACCCAATTCTAATGGGTTATGCGGAGCATCTACCGAAAATTACTGTAATTTAATAAAAAAAAAATACTGAATTGTTTAGAAACATTCATTCCGACGTAATTTTGAGGATTTAGTTAAATATTTTTCTTTCCAGTGGAAAAAAATCATTCGACAATACTTTCGCCAAATTTAGAATTTTATTGCATTTGGCGAGTTGGTGAATGCATAGCGCGAGGCCTGCTATTGCACCTTACTATATTATATAATTACTAATATTTATATAATTTATATATTTTTTAAATTTATAAGGAAAAAAAAATTTCCTTCAAAAAAAAATTTTTTTTTTTTGTTTGGACATTTATTATCATTTCTTTAAAAATAAATGAAATATTAAATGCATTCTTGATTAAATTGCGGGTTTCAAAACTCATTAATGATTTACAAAGGAAAAAAATGGAAAGCTCACGGAACCCACCTATTGCTTCCCCAGAACCTTGGGTTCCATGGAACACTTTTTGGGAAGAGCTGGTGAAGTGGAATTTAATGCAGTTCAGAAACGATTTAAAACCAAATGAACATTCGATTCTCTTAAATAATTTAGTCAGAAATAAATTGATTCGATGAAGGATTCGATGACATAATAGCAGACAATGCGATAAACGTTTTAATGTAGAATGCAACGAAATCAATAATACAAAGTAAGACTGACGCAAAAACACAATTAAATTTTTTTCCCCAAGCACATTGAAAGAAGATAATTAAACTAGCATTGTCGCCGGATATAGCTTTAAAGGAGATGGGTGCTCCAGTGAGTTAAAGTTGGTTTAAATTTTGATTGACAATAAATTTGGTGATAAAAATGACAATCCAATAACTCAAACATGTAGCGGTCGAAAAGTGATTGAAACTTACACTATTACTAGTTTCCAGAAGATATGAGTGCTCAAGAACAGAAGATATGAAAAGATGTGCTCCAGAAGATATCAGTGCCCAATTTTTTTAACATTATATGATCTAGTCGAGGTGGCTCAGGGGATAGAGAGTGCGCTTTTAATTAGATGAACCGGGTTCGAATCCCAGTGATGGCTGGTCGATACGAATTCCGCATCCGGTTCACACTAACCACAGTGCTGACGTAAAATATCCTCAGCTGTAGACGGATCATGGGTTAGAGTCCCCTTGCCGTCAGGCTAACCGTAAGAGGTCTTCCTAGTTTTCCTCTCCATGTAAAGCAAATGCGGGTTAGTTCCATCAAGAAGTCCTTCACGAAAGCAAAAAATTCCCATAATACTTGATCCAGAAGTTCCCTTGTCTTCTGGACTGGCAAGGCTACGGAGTTGAGCATTAGTAGTCTCAAACCCAAAATTGGGTCGGTTGTTTAATGACTGTTGTAAAATAAATAATAAAAAAAACTTATAAGTTCTTGAATTCTTTAACCTTCCTGGAACCTTACCTTTGTTGTGTGGACCACCAACTTTGTCAATTAAGCTCATTAGCAATTTAAAGACTAATTATTTTAAAAATGCGATGAATGGAGTTTTTATTCATCATTTCTCCAGTGGCAGATAAGGCTCTCAGTCCACTGTTTCCTGCAACCACTCTTGCATCCTACAAGCCTCTCTCTCCAACATCCTGCCCCTCGTTAGTTTGGGTCGTTCTACCTGTTTTCCTCAGATCAGATGCCCAGTTGTGAGAGACAGAATTCTATATTTATTCACTTTTAATATAGGGTCCGTAAAGCGCCACTTTCGAATTTCTTTACGTCTAGGTTTTATTTTTGTTTTCTGTAATATCATTTCATTGATAATGGTGCTAGTCTCAAATATATTCATAATGACTCTCAAATATGGAAAAACATTTCATTTTTTTAAAAATTGATGTTGCAGTTAGCTTTCATGTTTCTAGATCTAGAGCATAGTTTGTTTAAATTTTTTAAGCAGTAGCGGACTTTTATAACTCTATTTTAAACCTCATAACATCATTTCCAATTTGGGTATTTTTAGTTGCAGACATAAAAAATCCTCAGCATATTCATGGGATACATTTTTAAGATCTATATCATTATCATTTCAATGTAAATTCGAATGCATGGCTTAAAATTAAGTTTAAAGTCAACTAGTTTAAATACCCGTAAATCGGTCTAGTTCAGTATGTGTTTCTGATGAATGTATAAGCCAAGTGCCGTGGTGGCTCAGAAGGTAGAGCATTCGCTTTCTAATGAGGTGAACTGGGTTCGAATCCCAGCGATGGTGGGTCGATACGAATTCTGCACTCAGCTTGCTCAGACTACAGAACAGACGTAAAATAATCTCAGTGACAGACTGATCATGGGTTAGAGTCCCCTTGCCGTCAGGCTAACAGTGGGAGGGTTTAGTGATTTTCCTCTCAATGTAACGCAAATGTCCTCCACGAAGGCAAATTTCTCCCAATACTTGATACAGGAGTTCCCTTGTTTTCTGAATTGGGATGAAAATGACAAGGCTACGGAGTTGAACATTAGTAGTCGTAAACCCAAAACTCGGGTCGGCTGTTCAACAACGGTTATAAAAAAAAAGTGTATAAGCCAGTGGAGTGCGCAGACTCACGTCTGCCCCCAGCAAAAATTATAAATGCGCCCCATCTGAGACTTAAAATAATTTTTTTAAAATTTTAATAAGAAACTCGGGCGCTGAAGAAACAATCGAGAATTTTAAATTATTCATTTGATTTTACATTTATACATTTTAATTAAAATTGCTACAATATTGATTGATAAAGAATTAAATTGCGATGAAAAGGTAAAATTTAGAAGAAAAAAAACTAAATTGGAACTCTGCATACACTTACTGACTAACTACATTGAAATGAAATTTGTCTTAATACGACGAAATAATTCATTATCTTACAATGCTTTAAAAGTTTAAAGATTTTTATTTTTAAAGCAGATAAAAAAAATATTTCCAAAAATATAAAAATCTTTGCATTGAAATTCATATAGTAGGTTGTACAACCTTTTTGAATGAAGGGCTACGTGCCCAATAAGTATCTAAATATGTTGACGGCAGGTGGTTTAAACTACCAAAAATTAGAAATAAAGCTAAAAAAAAAACAGTAACAGTTTAAAACTCACATTCTAATTTTGCGTTTTGTAATATTGTATAAAAAATTGGAATTTTTTAAAAAAAATGGAAATAGAACTGAAAAAAAAACATGGACAAAAATAATGATCAAAATGCCTAATTAGAAAATCGCTTGCCGGATACCGGATATATAATACCGGATTTACGAAACCCTATGGAAAAGCCATAACAAGCAACAACTGTTGATAGAGCAATTAAAAAAAAATCTTTGGTTAGCGATGAAATCGGCAAACAAAGCATGTCAAAAGTGATTAGTATGCACGATAGTCTTACATCGTATTAAAAAGATCGGGACTTTAAGAAACACTTGGAAATCTGAGAATAACCTCAGAAAAAATTAAATGCGTAATTCAAAATTTCAGATTTAAAAAAAAAATCTTATCATATAGTGTATAGTTGCCTATATGATCGTGAGCCTCGCCACGCCGAGAGGGTAGCGGGTGTGTTACTTACGCCTCTGGTATAATCTTAAAAGTAATAAAATAAGCTGAATTATGATTTGCGTTGCAATGCAAACAAGAAAGTTGAGTGGTTATCAGGGAAACTTTTTATTGTTGAATTTAGTTTTATTTTGAATTGAAAAAGTTAGATTGGAAGAAGCTATTGACTATGAATGCATATCCATTTCATTATTTTTTAAAAATATATTGCTTTTTTTTGTAGCATTTTATTAAATTTCACAAAACTAAAAGAAATTATTGATTTGAATATAAATATAATTACAGGTTCAAAAAAACAATCTGTTAAATGAAGTGCTAAAACTATCGGAACCCCTGTAACCTATCTACGGAACCCTAAGGAACTACGGAACACCTTTCGGCAACAGTTTTAAATTAAGTTGATTCGTTTATTACTTCCAGCAACTGTAAGATTGTTTTCTATACATTAAAATAACGGTCAAAATAAGTAAGCATTGATTTGCTTTTTTATCTAACCTTGCTCAAATTATTTGTCACGATATAATTAAATATTATTAATGCAGATAACAAAGTTCATATTTTTTTTT